CAAATTACAATATACAACAATGAAAACAACATTGTTTTTCAAATGCTACGTATTTTATTGTGTATTAAATCCAATACAATTTTTCGAAGATCCAATTTGACATTGGCAAGAATGACATCATATTATTTTTGACAACATTGAAAACAACATTTTTTTCGAACTTAACCTATTTTATTATGTATAATTTTTAGATTATTTTCAAGATCCAATTTGACATTGACAAGAATGACAGCAAATTACAATTGACAACAATGAAAACAACATTGTTTTTCAAATGCTACGTATTTTATTGTGTATTAAATCCAATACAATTTTTCGAAAATCCAATGTGACATTGATAAGAATGACAACATATTATTTTTGACAACATTGAAAACAACATTTTTTTAGAAATTAACCTACTTTATTATGTATAATTTTTAGATTATTTTCAAGATCCAATTTGACATTGACAAGAATGACAGCAAATTACAATTGACAACAATGAAAACAACAGTTTTTTCAACTGCTACGAATTTTATTGTGTATTAAATCCAATACAATTTTTCGAAGATCCAATTTGACATTGACAAGAATGACAACATATTATTTTGACAACATTGAAAACAACATTTTTTTCGAACTTAACCTATTTTATTATGTATAATTTTTAGATTATTTTCAAGATCCAATTTGACATTGACAAGAATGACAGCAAATTACAATTGACAACAATGAAAACAACATTGTTTTTCAAATGCTACATATTTTATTGTGTATTAAATCCAATACAATTTTTCGAATATTGAATTTGACATTGACAAGAATGACAACATATTATTTTGACAACATTGAAAACAACATTTTTTTCGAAATTAACCTATTTTATTATGTATAATTTTTAGATCATTTTCAAGATCCAATTTGACATTGACCATGAAAACAACATTGTTTTTCAACTGCTGCGTATTTTATTGTGTATTAAATCCAATACAATTTTTCGAAGATCCAATTTGTCATTGGCAAGAATGACAACATATTATTTTGACAACATTTTTTTCGAACTTAACCAATTTAATTATGTATAATTTTTAGATTATTTTCAAGATCCAATTTGACATTGACAAGTATGACAGCAAATTGTTTTTGACAGGTATAACAACATAGAAAACAACATTTTTTACTAAAAAAAAACAAATTATAATGTGAACAGTGCTTTGAGGTGTTTGCTAATTTTCTATTTAATTAATTAATCGCGTAAATACAATAATTATATTAATTATAACTTATGCGGTAAGTGCCGATAATTAGTCTACAATCGTTCCACAAAATAATTGCAATATTAATTTCACGCCAATTCCACATAAAAAAAAACCACTACAACTTACCTACAATTTCTCGTTTGAAAATTGAGCTCTAACTAGTATCAAAACAATATGAATCAGCTGTAAGAAGGATACAAAACAGGAATTACGTATGTGAATCGCGGAGCTGCTACTACCGGAGCGATTTATTGATACAATTTCGAATAATTGCGAAGCGAAATAACCTACTTGAATCATCACAACCGTTTTAGAAATTCAAATTAAACCGCTTTTGTTTTCTAACTAGAACCCGATGATTGATGAGAGAATCTTAGCATTAGTTTCTTGGTAAAAACGTCGGCGCTCGCATCCTGGTCTTCTGGAAATTCTTCGCAACGATCAGCTCGATGGTGAAGACCATCAAGGATATGAAGAAACCAATAAGGAAGATTGCGAAGGCGAAATAACAGTCGTTTAGATTGACGCTTTTGAAATTGGCGCCTTGATTGTGGCATTTCGGTTTCTTGCTGTAGATTCTTTCGAAATTTCTACTTTGCACTCCAGTTTCCTTCATCTTTTTATATCTGCAAACAAATAAGATTATGATATTGATTGGTTAATGTGTTTTGTGAGTACCCAATTTTGATGATCTCTTTGAATGTTGAGTTCTTTTTGATGGGAACCCAAGGATCCGGTATTGCCCAATATTCAATCTCTTGTAGTCCGCATTTTTCGCTCTCAGAAAACGTGTTGCTGATAACTTTATAAACTGTGTCACATTCTGAATGAAAACCAAAGAATTCTTCTCTCAACTTCTTCACGCCTTCAAGTAAAGGCATGTAATTTGATGGTTTATTTGGAGGAGATACTTTGGTTTCTCTAATAGCTTTTTGAGTTGGACCATTCTGAATCTTTAAATCAAAATATTCAACAGTTGATTATTTTCACTATTTTACTAAGAAAGTTTACCTGAAAATAATAACGACTATACGGCGTTTCTTCTACACCTAAAGTCATCTTTGACTTCAACATATCATCCAGAGTTTTGATACTATCGGTTGTGGATTGTAGCAAAGCCACGATATTAGCTGAATATGAAGTGTAAAGGAACATCAATGAAAGAAACACTAGGAAAGTAGCAATCTTTCCTGCACCACTCCTAGGCTCAGCTTCAGAACCTTGTTGGCAAACAGCCCCAATCTCCATCTGAATCACATCTAACACCGTCGGTTTCAGCACTCCGTGTTCTTGAATCAAAATGTGACTTCCTCGCAACCACTCGAATTTTATAATAAAATAGATCACAAAGAAGATGATTATAAGCATCAACATGCAAGAGTACCAAACCCAAGTGTTAAATGGTAAAATAAAGACATTGGATACAGCTGATAAAGGTGGAGCTCTAAAGATAAACTTTGCTCTTGTTGGAGTGGTAAAACCCACGTAATCAACAATACTAATTCGATCGTTAGTGAAAAACGAAGCAGTTCCTTAAAAACAACAAACATCAATTATATTTAACAATCAATTTGTTTTTATGTCACCTCCAATTTCTGCACTTTTCGATTGAAGATCCCCCATCAATCCATTATACAGCTTAGTTTTCGGATCAGGAGTTCCCCAAGTTCTTTGATAAACGTAACTTGGAGTAACGTTCAAAATTTCAACTATATGTTTAACTAACAAATAGTTATGTTTGGTTATAGCATCAATATTTCTATGCCTAAAATCAAACAATTATTACAATTAATTATTCTTAAATAACTTACATCATATCATCAAGATGATCCACGGTATCTTCATACAAATAAACAATGCTAATATTAATTGGTAAACCGAATAGATTGGAACGATCGTTTGAATCAACTAAGGTTTTTATTGCATCAAATTTGTTTCTTCTCCAATTCGAAATATTGTTGTAAATATAAGGCATGTTTGTAGCCACTTTGTAAGGTGATATAATCCCATAATCTTGGATTAAATAGATTCGACTATTGATGAACATGTTGTAATCTTTATGGATCGAAGGTAAATTGAGAATAACCCAACGAAAAGGGAAATCGAATAAATCCAATTTATTAGCCTAAAAATTTTAAATTATTTAAAAAAAAAATATAATGAGAAATTACCAAATTTAGAATGTCTTCTCCGAAAGAACAATTGTAATCCAGCAGGAATAATTGATGTTCCAAAGGTTGCTGATAACTAACATCTTCAGTTTCGTAATTAATTGGTATTGATAAGTCGCTAAGTTGTTTCCAAAGTTGCACCAATATTTCTATAACAAATTAATGATTTAATAGAATAAAATTACTTTAAAAAATATTTAAAAAAATACTTTTATCCCAGCAAAGAAATGCGGTGATTTTGGTTGGTTGATTCTTCTGCAGATGATCCAGAAATTCGATGAGCATGGTTTGCGGTTCGCATTTCACCGCTGGATGGACGAGCAGCAGAAAGGCAATCGGTAACAGAAGTTTTCCAATCATTTTCATGATGATCGAACGACGTGTTCTGAGCTCACGCTTTTCCTTTTTGTGGACGACGGTTCGTGTCTTTCACAATTAAAGTTTCATCCGGTAATTGCGGGTTTCGCGGCGCGCACGAAAATGACGATTGAATTAAAAAAATATAGAAATTTCGTACGGGCTCAATCATTTTACTTAAAACTGATTATTTACCTCTAAGCTCTTATTAACTTTAATTATTGAATATCAATGTAAGGAAATGTTTAAGTATAATAGTTGGTTGAATCATAGTAATTTAGTTGCATGTTAGGTTTGAAGTACTGCTATTTTTTGTTTTAATTATAATTATTTGATTTTTAATAGAAAATTTTTATAAACACGTCTATGATTTAAGTTTATACAGATTTCATTTTATCAAGTTGATTTTAATTTTCTTATTTATAACGTAAGTTGTCTTTAATACTCGAAATAGCATCCTTAGTAACTGCAGTATCGTTATTATCAATTAAAATAACGTCCTTGGCAACTGAAGTAGCTTCCTTAGTAACTGAAGTGGCGTCCATAACAACTGAAGTAGCGTCCTTAGCAACTGAAGTAGCGACTGCAGCAGTAATGGTGGATCTTTTAAGATAGGTGTGACACATTAAGAAATATCCATAATTCTAATATTTTTCATAATAAATTTCAAAGTTTTATATTTTTCATGGGTACTTAGGCTTCACCACCAACGAGTGGTATCACCTAAAATGTCTTGACTACCATCACTGGTCAATATAAACTGGATTAGCGACGTTAGCAACTGAAATAGCATCCATAGCTTCGATAGCAATTGAAATTGCTTTCATAGTAACTTAAGTAGCTTTCTTAGCAACAGAAGAAGCGTCCTTAGCAACTGAAGTAGCGTCGTCGAAACTTTAATGATTGGTGTCCAAATTTGAAGAAAAAAAAAACGTAGTTTAAGTAGTGAGTCGTGTCACATTAAGAAATATCCATATTCTCATATTTTTCATAAAAATATAAGTAAATTCCAACAGTCAAAATAAATATTTTACATTTTTCATTGATACTTATGTTCGACTACCAAGAACTGTTTGTTTTTTGGGCGTGTCAGCCAAAAAGTCTTAACTAGCATCCTTAGCAACTGAAGTAGCATCCACAGTGACTGAAGTAGCGTCCATAGCAACTGAAGTAGCGTCCTTAGTTACTGAAGTAAAGTCCTTAGTTACTAAAATAGTATCCTTAGTTTGCTAAAGTAGAGTTCTTAGCAATTTTTGTGGCATTTTTGCCAACTGAGTAGCGTCCTTAGCAACTGAAGTAGGGACTGCAGCAGTGATGGTGGATCTTTTAAGATAGGTGTGACACATACGTAAGTGAATTCCAATAGGGAAGGTAAATTTTAATGTTTTATATTTTTCATGGATATTTAAGCTTTACCGCTAACGAGGCGTGTCACCCAAAATGTCTTGACTACCATCACTGGTCAATAGAAACTGGAGTAGCGACGTTAGCAACTGAAATAGCGTCCATAGTAACTGAAGTGGATTCGATAGCAATTGAAATTGCATCCATAGTAACTAAAGTAGCGTTCGTAGCAACTAAGTAACATACTTAGCAATGTCGTCAAAACTTTAAAGATTGGTGTCAAACTTCGAAAAAAAAAACGTAGCTTAAGTAGTGAGTCGTGTCACATTAAGAAATATCCATAATTCTCATAAATACATAAGTGAATTCCAATAGTAAAGGTAAATATTTTAATTTTTTCATGGATACTTAGGTTTCGTGTCATCCAAAATGTCTTAACTACCATCCTTAGCAACTGAAGTAGTAACTGAACTAACATCCATAGTAATTGAAGTAGCGTCATTAGTTACTGAAGTAGCGTCCTTAGTTACTGAAGTATCATCCTTAGTTACTAAAATAGTATCTACTTTAGAGTTCTTAGCAATTTATGTGGCATTTGTAGTAACTATGTAGTTAATATCCTTGCAATAGTTACTGTCAATTTCAGCAACTGTTATAGCTTCTTTAGTAACTGAGGTAATATTTGAAAATGCATGATTTTTTTTAGTTAAAAAAGAGAAAATGTCTAAATTGTATAACTAAGGTAATCATACTCTCTATACTCTATAGTTATTAGTTGGTTATTTCCAATAAATTTTGTAGTAAATAATTGTTGCTTTAAATTGGACAACTAAATATGTAATATATACACAAATAAAGCAATTTAATTTTCCACTCACTTAATTTTCTGTAGCCTTACATTTAATATATATAATTACAAATCTTGAGCTTATATTATATAATAAATACTTGAAGTGTACACTCACATATTGTATAATTCGTTTGTTTTAGTAAGTGTAAAGTAAATTTGAAAATAATTGGAGGAGCTTTAGAAATGCGTACAAATATAATTCGTGAAAAACGTTCGGATCGAAATGCTGGAATGCTCAGGCTTCAGGCCATTCCAGGATGTCTAATAAAATGTTGATCTCCGACGTAGCCTATTATGTTCATAATTTTATCAGCCTCGAACATAATTACTTAATCGAAATACACGTATATAACAACAACGCCGTAGTTCATCATGTCAAAGATTTGATTTAATTTATTTTTCAAATGAAGAAGAAAAAAAAAACTAGTTTCTATTATTCACAAGATCGAGAGGCTCTTTCAACGCGAACATTAATTTGACTGGAGATGTTAAGATTTATTACAGCCCGAGGATTCCTCCTCGAAAGAAAGAAAAAAAAAATTGTTAACCTAGTTGGATGTTTCCTTTTGCTTGTTTATACAGTTAACGTAATTTACGACGATTTTATGAAGTTCTTCTATAAAATAGTAGGCTTTCTTTAATTGTTGGTTTTTGGCTGGTATTTCTTCAATATTGTTTTTTTTATTTGGGTTTGGTAATGAAGATGTTAAAATTTATGGACGGCCGGCGGGAGTTGGTAGAAAAATTTTGCAACCACTATGAGATGATGATGATGATGGTACGAAAAAGAGAGGATGGATAATGTTCTTTTTTTTTTGTTCTTTGCCGTAAGGCGATTCGTGTCGAAGCGCTTGGCTCTTGGCTCGAGCACATAATGAAATCCAGTCCCCGGTGTTTCGTTGTTGCCTCTATGTGTATATAGTTCTTTTTTTTTTCTCTCTTCGTGTTGTTATTATTATTCCTTCTTTCTATATGCCTTTTAGTATTGAGACGGTTTTACATCTATTCCAAGGCGTGGTCACTTTTACTATCACTAAATAGGCCCGTGCTCAGTGGAGCAACAAAACGCTATCTCGGAGAGCGGCTCGCAGATAACGCAATCTTTCGAAAGACCTGTCTGGTCTCACTTTTCGACGTCTCTTTCTTTCTTTTTCTCCTTCTCCTACTCCTCCACTTCTTCACTCGCGTTAACATCCTCCACCGTTGCTCTGCATGAAGGTACCCCCTTTTTGGTTCTTCAATTAGATCCATTAAGGCAGCGTTTTCCAAACTGTGAGGCGCGACTCCCTGGGGAGACGTGGACTATTCTAAGGGGAGGGCCGAATATTAGTAGCAGTGAACAATTTTCCAAATATCTGCCAAAGTATAGATACATTCCTGTGCTCTTATCCATATTGCTGTAATACGAGTTCAAAGTTAAAAAATTGAAATTAGAACGTTCAAAAAAGCAGTGTTTTCACATTTCATTGATTTACTCGAAAACTATAATAGATAGAATGAATTCAATATATGCATATAAAATCTGAATGTTTGGGGAATGTAGCAAGTATAGATACATTCCTCTTATCCATATTGCTGTAATACGCGTTCAAAGTTGAAAAATTGAAATTAGAATGTTCGAAAAAGCAGTGTTTTCACATTTCATTGATTCACATTTCATAGATAGAATGAATCCAATATATGCATATGAAAGCTGAATGTTTGGGGAATCCAGTAAGTATAGAAACATTCCTGTGCTCTTATCAATATTGATGTAATACGCGTTCAAAGTTCAAAAATTGAAATTAGAATGTTCGAAAAAGCAGTGATTTCACATTTCATTGATTTACTTGAAAACTATAATAGATAGAAAATGATTACATACTTTTGAGGGATGCGTAGTAACATCAAGTTTGGAAACCACTGCATTAAGGAATGCAAATCTAACTCGAGCATTGCGAAACGCCTTAGAATGTATGCTTTATTAGTGTAGGTTTTTGTACCTGTGGTCATCAAAATATTGAACTATATGTAATATCTTAGCGTTATTAGTTAGCGTGACAAAGACAAATGATCTTCAAAATATACCCATAAGAACTTTATGTAATAAATTTAAATTTTTATAAAAATAAGAATACGCAAAATGTGTACTCAATTAAGCCTGCAAAAACAAGAAGGTACCAAGAACAAAATTAAAAGTTATAAATCAAAATCTCCTTAGTATTTGAGCACATTTTATAGATCAGTGGTCTTCAAAATATGGTCCATAGACTTCTACGGAATTCGTGGATAATAATTTAATTCCAAAGTTAGTAAAAGTACAAAATTTTGAATAGAATTTCGAATATAATACGCACAATTTGTACAGTTTTCTAAATGCGTTTTATATACGAATTTTGTAAGAAAAAAATTTCAAAACATACGTTTTCTTAAATTGTTTTGCTACAAATTTGGATATTAATTAATTAATAGAAGTTAAAGAATAGTTCTAGTAAGTCGAGAACTGTAAAATAGAAGATGTTCTCTAGAAACTTGGTTTCTTCTGGATACAACAGCAACTCGGCCAATTAATGCCACCCACGTACGGACGCCACGTATCTAGTAGATCGATATACACTTTAACTACTTTTACCTGTGAAGACTATATACATGTATATATATATTTATTGGAGCTATCGATTTCCAACTAATCCGAAGCCTCATCTCGCGAGCGGAGAGCGCGAGATAATTTCAGCAATATCGTTTGCGAAACGTCCGTTTCGATGATTTATTAATTGGACGCAAATGGAAACGTAACACGCGAACTCTTTGAACCGACACGAGTTTTAAA